TAAATCGCACGGCCAACGCCCCGTCGACGGCGACGCACGTAATCCCCGAAACATTCGCGAGCGCTCCATAGAAGAACATTAACGTTCACGCCGGGCGATTAAATAAGTCATATCGCTGCGTCTTTTCCTAACGAAGCGCCACGGCATTCTCGTATTCGAGCTGTGCCGAGTGTCGGCGTCTGTCGCAGTTGTCGGCTGCCAGAAGCAGTTTTTTTTACCTCCTCCGCCCCGTCCTTTCTCTTCCACCATCCCCCGACTCGTTCTTTTATTCTTTTCTTTGCGCGAGATGCAGTATTTATAAGCAGAGAGGACCGTCGCGACCGAGAGAGAGAGAGAGAGGAAGGGAGAGAGAGAAAGAAAGTAAGAGAGAGAAGAAGGGACGAGAATTTTGTAGCACGCGTTCTTCGCTACGGTGTTAGTAATGATACGCATGCCCCGTCCTTCTCTACACTTGTTCTTTTCCTTTCTTTCGTTCATGAGAGAGCGAGCTTCTTCCCTCGTCGTCTCGCTTCTCCGCCACCGAAGATACCGAGTGTCTTGGCTCGGTCTACGTCTCCCCGCTTCACCGCACTGTAAACTGTAGCTTCTTTGACAGACCAGCGGCTGGCGTGAAAACGCTCGCCAATTAACCAGCGGTGAATTATGCACCTCCTCCTTACTTAGCCGCTAGTTTAGTAGGTGACTTACGTCGTACTTGCCAGCCGACAAGCCACGAACGAATTCGAGTACTTCGCTGAGCGGTGAGTTCCTCTGGTCTTCTGTCTCTCCCGTTTCTGTTCTCTCTCTTCTTCTCATTCTCCTTCTTGTCCTCGTTTCTCTCGTTCTTCTGACGTTTGCTGGTCCCGCTCATCCTTCTCCCACTCCGACAGGTCTGTGCACAAAGCGGCTACGGTGTCGCAAGCAGCCGGACATCCGGTAACTCGCAGAGGTCTCTTTGAAGTCTTTGAGAACGCAAATTCGCGGGATCGTACGCCGAATGAAATATCGCGATGCGCGCCGTCTCTGTTCTCGTCCGCATCCCCATCCTCGTCGTCGATTGTCGGCAACACGTTGCGCGATGCGTTACAGTGGAGAGGATTATGTGAACCGTGCGGGATTCTACTGTAGACAGAAAATTATAGCCCGCGCTTTCTTGTGAGAAATATATAACATATTTACAGGCAGAGATTTTTTCGACGAACTTTTAACGCTTCCATGAAGATAATAACTCGCTGCAAATTTGTCGCGACATGTGAGAAACACTTCATGTATTTTTTTTTATTGTAAAAACAAAATCAACTTCTAGATTTACGTGTAACGTCAGCGAGACTTTGACTGGTAGCAAGACTTTTGCTACCAGAACTGTCGCATAACGTATTATCTGTATCTCTTTATGCGCGAGTCAGCGATGTTGTTAAAATATCGTCACACATTTCAGTCTACTCCATTGACCAAAATTATCTTTGTGTATTTCTGGCACAATGATCAATCTCGGAAAATACTTATTCAACGAGGTCGACGACTCATTTGCGAGCTTGACGGATAACTGACAATACCAACGCGAGGTGTCCCTCGTAAAATTCAAATTTGTTCGTCGGTCGTTAGTCGAGAAATCCAAAACCATCTTTCGCTCGCCGACTCCCTTTCTCTTTCCCTCTTTCTCTTTCTCTCTATCCCTTTCTCTCTCTCGCTCTCACTTTTTCTCGCTCTCCCTTCCGTAACGCGACCGTACGGAATAATCTACCAGGCGTAGAACAATCTATCACCCGTACAACGAAAGTTTGACGCAATGTCAAAACGCGAGCCCGTTAATTTTTCATGTCGTTTCACCCGGAACTCGTGCTGTAACTGCGTCTCCTAACCCCGGCCGTATATACAACGTCGACCTGATCCACGTCGTCGACGCTGGTCCAGCAAGTTGTCTCGGCGTTGCCGTTCATTATTCACCACCTACACTGATACGCTACCTTTCGAGAACGCACTTGCGTGGCGCTGCGCCAGAAAAAGAACGCGCCATATATCTGTTTTACAGATTGTCTAGTCAAATACAACTCGCTTTATATTATCGCGCATTCAAAATAAAAACTCATATTTCAAACCATTATTTACGGAATACAATTTATTCGCTCACACAATGATTATTTAGAACACCACAACTTTCATAGATAATATTTATAATAATAAATAATATTTATAATAATATTTATATAACTATAATATTTATGATAATATTTATATAACTTTTTAATTTTTTATAAAGTACTACAAATAAATATCTGTGAGATTTGTCTGTGTTGAGAGACATGATAAAACTTCAAGTGTTTTAAAAACCGAGAAAAAGTTATGTGACCAAAGTAATCAAATATTTATATAATTATTATTAAGAAATTTTTATGACATTAATTAACGTCCTTATCTAAAATTACTTGTTGTTAGATAGATATAAAAACATATCCTTATTATGTGTAATCGGTAAAAATAAAATCATGTCAAAGCACAATTTATTACCATAAATGATCGAATTTAATTATATCCTTTTCCCGTAAATTCCATTTATCTACGTAAAAAGTATAGAATACATATTACGTTATAAAAAGTTGTCTATCTTTCCCTTCTGCTGTGTATATTTACGAGGCCAACTTTGCTTTAGCAGCCCTCTTGATGTTTTAACTTTATCGCGACCGAAGTATGATTTTACGAGAAGCTGCGGGCTAAATATGCCCGCCTCGTAAAATTAACGGCGTTTCCATAAAGGAATCCGCTGCTTGCGTTAAAACTCGATAAAAGCCAATAAAGCATCGCCACAGAGCGCAGTTTAGTTGAGTTTATCGCCTGCCCTCCTTGGAAGTCTTCGCAAAGTGTCCCGAGTAACCACGACGGTCAACCTGTATCCATTTGCGACGTTCTTCTTCGTGGATAAGACGTATGCGTGTCCTGCTGCGAAGAAGAAATTTCGCGCAGAAGAACGTTTTATCGCGTCATCTACGAAAATCTCTCATTATGTGCGACGACGACCTCCGAGACGAGAGATCTCACGTTCGTTCAAATAAACGAGCTGCGCGTACACGTTTTGTGAGAACTACCATCGATTTTTATTAACCGCGACGCGCAATGGCGTAATGATGAAGTCGCGCACAAACAAGTTGAACGCTATGAAGTTTTGCCCGCGGAAATAATACGCGCGAATGAAAAGCGAAAAAGCGCTGTCTGGAAAAATGCGCGGGACGCGAATAAATTGCGAATTGCCGCAAGTACAAGCGCTGATTTATGTCGCGATTACGAGAACCACACTTTACTTACATGTTCTCGTGAAGATTGAAATGTTTTTCCTTATTTCGCGCGTGATCTCTTTCCTTTTCTCCTCACACACAATTTTACAATAACAGTATAAATTCCTATAAATTCCTATCACGCTCAGTGAGATGAGCAATATCCCGGTGTTTTTTTTTTTGAGCATGAAAAACTCGTGTTACCTGCTAAAAGGAAAGCGGACGGACGAATGAAGAAGATCGTCAATTAGCCGTTATTACATCGCAGAAACCTATAACACTAAAAATGACCGTATAACATCCGTGCGCGTTTGTTTGGAATAAAGTAGCTGATTATCGTTCGTCTCCGCGCGCGCTATTATAAAATACATCGTTCGGATGGCAGATAGTGTCTTGTCTCCCTTAGTGGCTCGCAACATGATTATTTCAGAACTGGACCGCCGTACTGGTATAATAGCTCGGTTTATCTGCGGCAGGTACCGGCTACCTCTATAACGTTGACTTCACGCATCGGCATTTTTGCTCATTGATATCTTTATAGTGATATTAAACTGAGTTATCGTAACGTTTAAAAATGCCATATACGGTATTCACGACGCGTCACGACGCGCCACGACGGAGCTTGCCACTTTTTTCGGCATTCCTCGCTTCATCGCGAGATAATCTAATGCCACATTAGTCGATTATATTCTCGATTGATTCTCGAAATTGTATGTACTAATATACTACTCTTCGCACGCGAGTTTATCAAATAAAACAAAGTAGAGAGATTAATGATTATTTATTTTGCAATACTTCTTGTAAGTTAAATTACCTTACATTTCTCTCATTTTTACCAATTTCTCGTCTTTTCGAGTCTTTAGCGTGTTTTTGAAAACATCGCGTGCATACCACCGACTGACCGAAACAGAGAATACAAGGAGACACACCGCTATTCGCATAACTCTGACAGACTCTAGCGGACGGGGGGAAAGATTGCCCCGCAAACTCTTTGAAGGTTTATGCCGATTCAGAAACGAGTTGATTCATGAAGACGGCATGGACCTCCTTGGGATCTACGGCTCGGTGCACCCCAGGTCGTAGCGGGTGGTCTCGCGAGTTGATTTCTTGTTTCTTCTACCGCAAACCGAACCGCGGTAGCCTCCGCGTCGTTTCTCTCTTTCTCTGTCTCTTTCACTCTTTCCTCTAACTGGCCCGAGAAAAGATTGAGAGCGAGAGAAAACGACGGAGAAAGATGGAGAAAGAAAGAAGGAAGATAGAAACGGGACGAAAGCGACGTTCCCCGCTGTCCGCATAGCTACAGAGATTGTCGATTTAAATGTTTACTAATAACCAGCCTTGTCCAGCAACCACCCAGAAGTCGGTCGCTTTGCATTTTTATAAGTACATCCCGGCCGTCCCGGTTCCGAGAATGAGAACGTTTCATATTCATTCACCGATCTGAAAGGACGATCCCGTACATTGACTAGAGCCTTCTCGTGTATGTATTGTCTCTGCTGAATTGCACATGATGCACGATTAGACGCTTGACTCGAATAGCATAATAAACAACATGGTAACCTTCCTCGGAAAAGCGCTCTGTACGTTCCGAGAATATCCTTGTATTTAATTATCCAGTACCGTTTAAATGTAAATTTTTAATAAAGAGTAAATAAATTGTACGTACAAAGTATACGTATAAAATAGAAAATTATAAATATTGCCCTGCGACTCTCGATGCAGTTGGCGGAACTAGGTTAAAAATAATAACTCGCTTGTTTTCCGTAATGATTCGTTTATTGCGAAAGGACACAGTCTGCGCGATGTCTGCCAATGTCTGACATCAGCGAGCTCGCGTGAAATTTTGGACACGAATGACTAAAAGATGATGGCGATCGTTCACTCTCGACATGACATGATATGTTGACAGCCGTTGCGCCCTCGAGGCTTTATTCTCGTGTAACTTTATCGATCCGCGCGACCTGAGATATTCTTACAATTGTTCTCGAGGTCTCGACAGCCGAATGTGAATTTTTTATTTGTGCGCAATGGCGATAAAACGCGCGACGGAATTGCATATGTCGCAGCAGATTGCGAGCGACGCTTTACTCCGCGAATCGGCAAAAGCACATTGATTCCCAATGAGAGTTTGCAATTCGACACTTCACGTTCCTTGCAAAAAAATTATCACGAGCCGATAATCTTTAGCAAAAATAAATAAGAGAGAGTACTTACAAGAGAGAAGAGGAACCAAGGATGCAATCACCAAGAACACACTGTGATCGTCCCTCGCAATCTGTCACCGCGACCAACGATCCATACCTCATCATGCTCGACCAAGTCGACGTGAATCGATAATATTATAAACATTGCAATAACAATAATAATCATAATAATCATAATAATAATAATCGTCATTAATATGAATTATGATCTCAGGTATGTGCTAATAATATTGCGTATCTACTCTACATACAATACATACACTGGCCGGACGATTTCTACTTGGGCCTTTCTCTACTATTTACAAACGCATAAATAATAATTATTATTATCGTATAGTTTTTATATATATTTATAGTATTTATATGCAATATAGTACTGTCGAGTTGAGACGCTAGTTGTGGTACGGTTATACCGCGATAATTACTATGGGTAGTCGGTGCTACAAGTTTTCGTTTTTATTCAGATTAACGACAGGTAAAAACAAACGGATTAAAAATGGACGAGGAAAAGAAAAGGATTTAGAAAATTGAACATTGACACTGACGTTGAAAAAGAAAGACTAGGAACAAGGAGAAAAAGGTTGGGGCAGTATCTCATTATCTCCCGATATACTGTACACTAATTACAAGATTGTAGTTTCTGATTATTGTCAGCCACACCACACAAAACGCCCGTCGGTTGGTGCATAGCGTACAGCGCGCGATAAGCGTCTCTCTTAGCGATTGGTCGTATCGTCGAGTCACACCCGTCCGGGAGACTTGAGTTCCTGAGTCGCGGGAAGACTGCCGCCTGCCGGATGCGGCGATTGATCGGACCCGCCTGACGACGCCGTCGACGACGACGACGGCGACAGTCCAGAAGACGTGGTAGTAAGTAAAACGGCCGATCCGGCCGTTGCGCCGCTCGCGCCACCGCTACCCCCGTTGATCGTGAAAGGTTTTACCGTACCAGCGACAGAGATTGACGAAGACGAGGACGTCAATATGCTTGGAGCTGTGGACGGCGTCATTACGCCGCCCAACCCACCCAGAGTTCTTGAGTAGGTCTCCAGCAAGGAGATGTCGCCTGAGCCGAGATGAGACGCGCCGTAAAGATTCCTATAGAAGTCCGGATGCGGTCTCACGAACTGCGTACCCGGATGTATCGCTGGATGCAAGGCATGATGGGGCGGCAGTCGACTGGCCAGAGGACTGACAAGTTTACTTCCTGCGCCGCTGCTACCATTGCCACCGCCGCCACCACCGCCGCCGCCAACGCCACCCCCGCCACCTCCACTTCCGCTGTAAGGTGACGCGAGACCGGTTATAGGAGTTGGATTTGAATTCTGCTGATCGCCATCCTTGCTCGCCATGTCTGCCAATGACCAGATCCGCGGCTTCGTGGTCACGGCACTGCCCGTGGTCGACGCGCTAGTGCTCGGTGGGATATGATGTTGACTGCTCGGCGATGTGCTTTCTGGTGACGGATGACGTAATAACCGACCGTGATTTGGCGTGAGATACGCCGGATGCTGCAATTGCAGCGGATGCCTTGGTTCTCTCTGATCGTACAAGCATTCCGGACTGTCCGGCCCGCTGTCCGCTCGCGACTCGCTCCACTCACTTTCGGTTCTACCTTGGACCGCCGATCCGCCGTTGCCGCCATGCAAAAGATCCAGGCGATGCGCTGGTCGTTCTCCGTCCTCACTAGAACCTGTACCCGAGTCTTTCGAATCTGAACCAAAAAAAAACTTGACTTTGTCATTTGAAATAATACGGTATTTCCAATTCAAGTTTTTAATTTCATGAGATTCTGATTTGTTTAAAAAGAAAGATCTCAGAAATGTAATAAAATATCAAGATATATGATTGCATATATTTAATTAAACAATAATTAAAAATAAATTTATTCAAGAGAAACAAGCCTCACCTAATCGATCTTTTTCATCGACGCTCTTCCTCCCGCTATCATCATCTTCGTTATTGTTATCTTCATCTTCGACTCGATTTCTCGGTTCCCACGTCATTTTATTTTCTTTTTTCAAACGCCTTCGCGCGTTTGCGAACCACGTTGACACTTGCGTCAGTGTCATCTTGGTAATAATGGCCAGCATAATTTTTTCACCTTTCGTGGGATAAGGATTCTTCTTGTGCTCGTTTAGCCACGCTTTCAACGTACTCGTTGTTTCTCGTGTCGCGTTTTTTCGCCTCGCGCCGTTTAGATCCATGCCGTAACTACAACAAATCCAAGTAAGAACAATTATATGCTAAATAATTCGCAACGGAACTGAGTTTGTTTTTTTTTTCGAGATCTTGTAAGCCGCGAAAACACGTGTTCGTAAATTAACGATTATATCGGACAATACAAACCAACGAAGAAGAAGTAAAAATGGAAATTCGCGAAGAGAATTATTGCTTGTTTATACGTCAAAAACCTACATGCACGTTTTGCAATCGGAGAGCAGATGCGGGCCAAGTCATCCGCATATTATTCCGTAACTGGTCTGACGGGATCAAAACGGACCCTGGGCCTCACCAGACCAGTTGAGAATTAAGTTTTACACCGTGGACATATTTTCGTCGAATGCTCGCTCGAAAGATGCTTGTGACCCAGATGGAGAGAGAGAGAGAGAGCGCAATATTTTATATACGCAAAAATAAACAAGCCATCGGAGAAAGCTCCGTAACTAAGAAAATATGACCGCTGCTATAACTGCTCTGGCAGTGGTTCTGTGGAAAAACTCACGTCGGAAAACTTATCCCATCGTTTGGACTCGTTATGCCTTCCCCAGCGTCAGTATAAAAGTCCGAGTTCTACTCCCCGTTTGAGGGGCGATATAAGCGGGTAGGTAGGTACTACTTCTACCCCGAGAGCAGATCTCTATCTAACGGTTTAAGATCCTTCCTTCCATCCTGGCTAAAGGAATGGAGCGGAAAGTGAGTAGAGAGAGGGTAAAAGAGAGGAGAACAACCAACCTCCTCTTCGTCTTCCACCTCACTCTGACGGACCGAAGCGACCGACCCTCTGGGATCCCATTACTAAAAGACTAACCCTTATCAAAGATTAAACTTCGGTATAACTGCTGAATCGACGGGATCGAAATTAAATTTTCCACCACCAAAGCGACTGGCTAGGACTCACAGGATATTCTTTCTGTCCGCTCTTTTCTTTCTATTTTCCTTGTCTTCCTTTTTTCTGTTTCTTATGGAGTTCTGTTTCTTTCTTGTTCGTCTTGCGTGTTTTTTTTTCGCGTATACATCTGCGCAAAATTTCACGATTCGATTTGAGACTTCGGGCACTCAGAGAGATTTATACGAAGTATCAATCTAATTATAGGCTACAGTTTTTTTTAATTGTATTTATTATATTGTAGTGATATTATTAGTGATTATTATTGTTGTTGTGTTGTTGTTGTTGTTATGATTATTATTATTATTATTACGCCATGCAAGCGGTATAAATAATTCTAATAAACTAAAGCAGTTGTATTAAGAAAATTATATTATATTTAATTAATTAATCTCTCAATACTGATTTCGAAGATTCTTCAATATATATCTTAACAAGTAATAAATCAATATTATAAAATAAACAAAGTTTACAGATTTGTGGAAAAGTGAGAAACTTACATCCCTCATAAACATACCGGATAACGACGAGATATTGTTGATTCAAATCCCCAACCGGCGGTCTTCTCCACCTTCTGAGGCGGTGGTCTCGTCACGACGCGTCGCCATTATTGAGCTTTATTTTCGCCTTCGCGTCCCGAGACGTATCCGACGACAGGGTGAGGGCGGAAAAGCGTGTATGGACGCGCAACTGACATCCCCGGTGTTGCGTGGCGTCGGGTAGGTTAGATAGGGATGGTAAGCGTGGAAGTGGCGGCAGGAGATGGGAAATTAATAAAACTGTCACTTATCTACCCTTCTCCCCGAGGCAGACCTACACACGGTATTTCTCGCTCCTCTATCTTCGTTCTCACCCTCCAACCCCGGCGGTCCCCGTTCGCCGCTACATCCTTCTCTTCTTTCCTCCTCCTGCTATCTACCCGTCGCACTTTTCCTGCTTCTATTTGTCTCGCTCCGATTCCGGGCGCCCCGCATGCGGGATTTGAAGCAGCTGAAACGAAGCGCTAAACATTTCAATTTGGCATCAGACGCTTCCATACCATGGACGCGAGCGCGCGCACGCTGATATACATCTCTCTGTCTCTTCATTCTCCAACCTAGCCTATGCACCGCTGTGTGTTTCCTCGTTCTATCCAGCAGGTCGCAGACGCGGAGAGAGAGTCGGAGACGCGCGGTACTGTCTCTCTGTTCGTCGAGAGGCGAAGGGTGGTTTTGGACCGAGAGCAGCGAGATGAAGAGAGAGGCAAAGAGCGCGCGAAGTGGACCGACATCGATGGAACGGGGCAGGTGAAGTGAGAGAAAGACGGAAAAGAACCAAGAGCACCAAGAGGAGACGGCGGAGCGGCGGGGACGGCTTAACCCCGGTCTGTTTGCGAGGAGCAAATGGCGTTCTGCAGTTATTTTAAAATTCAGCCGGTGGCAGGGGGTGCGGATCGGATTAAAAAATCAGAGTGGAAGCTTGTTTCTCATGATAACAGCCAGCCGCCCCGAGAGCGGCAACTGCTGGTGCTGCTGCTTTCTCCCGATTCCGTCTCCCTGCCACCTCCGCTCCGTCTCTATCTCTCTGTTTCCTCCATCCACGTTCCGAGCCTGTTCTCTGTCTCTTTTCTTGGCGCCGCGAACGGTTCCGCTCTTCGTTACTCATTCTCTCGCTGTTCGTCGCCCCGTGTCGAGCGATTCTCTCAATCTATCTCCCGCACAGCCGCCACCTCCGGTATCATCGCCGCCACCAACCATCGCTATCGCCATCGTCAACCGCTTTAAATACGACAGCTATATATACGGCGAGCCGGTAGAATATAGACGAGCACTCGGTGTGCACTTGCTGGAGATATAAATATATATGCAAATGTGCATAGGTATACGTTGATACGCGTATGTACGTGCGGCATCGCGTGTGCATTTTCCTCGCCTCTGTCATCCTCTCCGAACTGATCGCATCAACTGCTTGTTTCCATGGTGATTGCTAATCGGACCGCGTCTCGCGCATCCCATACCTTGCTATTTTCATCTTGTAATATCGGTTGCTTTCGTTCGATGTTTTACTTCGGAGCAAGAAATACTTATATCTAAATAGTCGTAACTTCTATCAACCGCGTTTAAATTCTATTTCCGGCTGCAGTCGAAAATTGTTGCTATGTATTTTAAAAAAGTCTCTGATATTTTTACATCTTGAAGGAAAAAAATTTTTTATCAAGGAAATATTTCAACATGAGACCGTTGCAACTGATAGATGTTATACTTTATGACGTGCGCATGTTATGAGTGCAAATTTTATAAGAATGCTTCTTTCAATGCTATTGATATTGTTAACAAACAAGACTAGGACTATTATGGCGAAAGCTCAAAATAATTAATTTGATAAATTCGCTTTGTTGGATGATATATGAACTGTATATTCTTCTGTATCTGTGAACTTCTGCGAGATATAATTGCAATCTTTTCTTTGAAAGCGCGCAGATATAAACACGTGTCTCGCTTATCGTTCGTACTCGATTATACGAAACCCCGTCAACCGCTTTTGATCCGACTATAAATTCGTGGAAGATCGCAATTTGCATATCCCGCATATTTCAACAATGTACGGGCGCGATGGATGCTATTTTTGATCCGGACGACTTATCCATCAAACCGGACACGACCGTACTTCGCGGGATGACATCCTCCGAAAGGAAGCCCGCTATCGTGAATATATTTCTCTTTAGATAACAACCGGTTTTGCACGTTTCCAGAATGAAACGCTTCGAGTCCCGCAACGTCCAGCTGCGTTTCCACAGCGGCGACAACAACGATCGAGTCGACTATTAAGAGTCAAAACCAAAGCGGCCATTTCTTTCGCTCTTTTCCTGTCAACCGGTTAGTATAAAATGCGTCCATCACACGATGCCTTCGAAAAGGGTGAAAACGGGGAAAGGGGAAGGGGGAATCCCGGGGTGACCAAGAGCAGTTCACCTCGGGGCAGGTGTGCGGTTGGCATGACTCCGCCCCTCGTCACCAGTCGTAACTAGGGATGATATCTATAACTTCGTCCTGCTCCCTCTGTTGGGCCGTCTCTGTGGCCGACGCTCCTTTTCAGATATGGTCGTCATGCCTTGCGTTTTATCAGTGCGTTACTGCGGCCATGTTCAGCGGTGGGCGCCATCTTTTCGCGGGCCAAACGTGCACGCACGAGGGTTGCGCGTCCGCGCGCATCTTTCCATTCAGTTTGTCCCGAAGCCCGCCCGTCCGTTCGCCTGCGCACACCGTCGTCTCGGTCGTTCGTGGTCACGCTTGAGTTTAATCACCCGCGAGGCCGCGACTTATAGACTGGTTTGCGGTCCCTTTGACCCATCCGCTTTCCATAGCGGCGACCTTGCGAGCCCTCGTGAGACAGGTTGAAAACACGAGAACAAGAGGAAGTTCGCTCGGGTAGAAAAATCGACAATCGACGTCGCCATGTGTCGAGACATGCGACATCATGCATCGTGGATGTATGCATGGGACAAGAGAAAAACAATATCTTTCCGATTATTTTAATGAAGATAATATATATATCAAATAAACTATAAAACATTTTTTTTTTTAAATTAAATCTGTTTGAGTAAGAAACTTTCATTTATAAGAGAAAAGAATCATATGAGAGAGAGAAAGAAAAAGAAATTCACCTTATTTCAATGGTTTGCCGCTTTATTAGATCGAGTTTTCGCGTGCTGGATCGATTTAAATTGCGCCGAAGCGGCTCACTGTTGGAAAACTAATATACGCGAATTTCACCGCGCGCGCGGTCGCAAGTTCGGACAACGACGCGGAATGAAAAACTTTTGGTCGAGACGAAAGTTTCCGCGCGATTCCGCGGTTTCAATGGGCGCGCGTTTGTGTGTGTGCGTGTGTGTTTCAGCGAGCGCTCGTAAATCAACCACGTGGAACAAGAGGAGAAGGAAGAAAAGATAGATTCGCCGGGATGAACAAGAGAATGAGCTAATTCGACGACTCAGCAACGTGCTTCATACATCGGGCATATAAATATTTGCGTTGACTGGAACAACGACACGAGATGCGAAAGCGTAGCGCGCAGCGGAGGAGGATAGGAAGAAAGAGAAACGACACGTGGAACGAGAGAGTCGGCC